CAGCATCAGTCGCGGCTTAATGGTCGGGGAGGTGGGGTGGCAACCGTCCATCGAGATTCTCTCTCACTGGCTAGAGTTGTGGTCCAACGAAGTGTCAGATTCGAGTGTCTGTACTTGACGTTGGGTGGCCGGGATGGGTTGGCTACGCTGCTTGTGTACCGCCCACCTCGCTCTACGGCAGATGCTCTGCTCGAGCTGGCCGACGTGGTCTCGGACGTGGCATCGAGGATGCCGAGGCTTTTGGTCTTGGGGGACTTTAATATCCACGCCAAGGCTGTTCCGTCTGGTCCAGCCCAAGATTTTATGGATACCATGACCACCCTAGGATTATGGATGCCATGGCCACCCTAGGATTATGCCAAGAGTTAACTGAGCCAACACACGTTGCAGGTCGTACTCTTGATTTGGTTTTTTGGACTAAGGGTGATAGAGTTCTTGGGATAAGGGATGTGGTACACTCCCTTTGTCATGGACTGATCACTACCTGGTCAAGTTTAGACTGTCTGCTGACCTTCCCCTCCACAGAGGCGGGGGACCAAGTAAGATGATCCGCCCTCGGAGGCTGATGGACCCGGAGGGTTTTCTGAGGTCCCTGGGGGATTGTTCAGCCATTCTGGCAAATGGTCCTGTAGATGCCTAGTTGATACATGGAACACCGAGGTAGACTGGGCAGTTGATATAATTGTTCCTAAGCGCCCTCTTCGGACCAGTCGAGCCAAGTTTGCTCCCTGGTTTTCTAGGGAGCTGGTGGCAGCGAAACAGTCTGAGCGACGGCTAGAACGCCGCTGGAGGAGAACTTGAGCTGAGTCTGATCGGCTGCAGGTTCGAGCTGAACTGCGAGCTCCCTCTGTGGCGGTGCTGACAGCGAAGACAAGCTGCTTCTCCACCCGTATCGCGTCCGCACGACGCCGTTTCGAGCAGCGCGGGGCCTGTGGCAGTCTGGCACTCGTGACGAAATAGAGGAGCCTCTGGCCCCCGCTGCGATCTGTTTGCAAAGCATTTTGCTAATAAGATCGCCTGCGTCCGGCTGGATTTGGACTCTGGTTGCTACGTAAGTGGGACACGGAATGTGTGGAGTGCACCGCCCAGTCTTTTTTCTCTGGCTCAGTTTCAGCTATTGCAGACTGAGGATGTGGACAGGGTGCTTGGCGGAGTGCGACCGACCACGGGCTCACTTGACCCCTTCGTGGCTTATTAAATCTAGCCGGGAAGGGAAGACTGGCTGGGTCCAGGGGATTATTAATGCGTCTTTTAGATCTGGTTTGGTTTCTGCTGCTTTGAAAGCATTTAGATATCCCAGGCTTCATTTGCATCTTCCTGGGCGCCACCATGTTTAAATCCCCCTTAGTCTGCACTCTGTGCGGTACGGAATAGGGAGTTCGATAGAGACCCTAATTCGAACTGCCGGTACTCCTCGTAGTCTCTAATTTGAACTACCTACCGGGATCCTCCTTGTGTCTGCGACCGTTCCCTCTTGGGGCTTGGGAAACCCTCAGTTCCTTCTTCATGAGCCATCGGGGCGCTTGTTGGGGGCGCTCACAGATGGGGTCCTGGAGTGTGTGTGGGTGATTAATGGATAACTGGTAAACTGAGGCACACTGCCCCTTTTGGGGACAGGAAGTGGAATGTCTGTGAGTCGCCAGCGTGTGGGGATTGGCCAGCACAGGGGAGAGATTTAGCAGACTTGGCGACCGGCTGCTTCTGATGGTCCAGGAGGAGACACGATGTCGGGAGCCCATGGACCTCAGAGACCCCCCGCACCTCCCAGCTGTGGGGCGGCTCAGCTGAGCACTAATGAATGTTTTCTCAGTCACAGTCCCTGTGGGGCTAATTAAGGCCGACTCTGCCGCCCCCGGGGCCTGGTTGCTGGGGTTCATCTTCACGCAGGGGCGGCCGTTCCTCTGCAGATGCCGGGGGCAGGCGGGTGCCAGGCGTCCTTGTCCGAGGTGAGGTTGGGTGTCAGGGTGTGTTGGGGCATGGTGGGGAAAGTCTGGGATGGCAATGCCGGCTGGAGGGGGGCACGGGATGGGATTGGGGAGCAGGACAGCAGGGAAACCCCCCATGTCTTCTGTGCCCCTCTCTCCCTCTGGCATCTGGCTCTGAAGAGACATTTCCACCCGCAATCGCCTCTGACAATCCCCCACCCAGCACGACCCCTCCATCTGCAGCCTCATGTGTCGCCCTGTCTGGCCAGGTGCTTTGACGTTGTCTGGAGAAGGACCCCGCGCACCGGTGGGTCACTGCTCAGCCCAGATTCTGTCTCCACTCTGCGTCCTTCCCACGCACATGGAAGGGGGGGCTCTCCACACACCCATTGTCTGGCTCCCTTGTCACCGTCCCCAGGAGCATCGATTTCCAGAGGAGACCGGTTCTCCTCGGTGTCACGGCTCAGTCTGGGAGCTCGCAGCAGGGACGTGTGTCATGCCCAGCCCCTAAAACGATCTGCACAAAACGGAGCCTTTTCATCCCACGTTTCCCAGGCTGGTCATGGAGAGAAAGGGCCGTTTCCCGCCCCGCCCTCCGGCAACCGTGTTGAACTCAGGGAATGCTCTTCGGGGCTACCGGGGCCTGGACTGACATGGACGCTTTCCAAGGAGCAGGCGGAAGGAGATGAGTTATGGCTGGAAGCTGAAGTCAGACAAAATCAGCCTGGGAACAAAGGTGTAAATTTATAACCCTGACGTTTCTCAGCCAAGACGGGCGTCCAGGGAGAGAGCCGGGCTAGAGACGCAATGAGGGGAGAGCTCTAGGTTTGGCTCCCGGCCGGTCCAGACAGCTGGACTCCTTCAGGAAGCTGGTTTGTTTTGCCTCCCCTGCTAAGTTTCACCTCCCTTCCCAGCGAGGTGCTGAGGAAATCCCACGGACGGTCGGGGGGCGTCTCACACGCGGTGACCGACGTTCTCGGTTTTACCAGACCATTATAAATGGACCCGTTTGGAATGTGACTGTCGCACTCGCCTGTCGGTGCCTGGGACGTAGAGCAGCAGGAACACGCCCCTGCCGGTGTAAGATGCCAGGCTGGGCCGACTCCCCCAGCGCTTTGTTCGGAGCCTGCGGCAAGAGGAGGCAAATATCCAGATGATTCCTTGTAGCTTTGGAAATGTCCAGTCCCTCATTTAATCTTGGTAAGTTTTAGCCTAAACGCCACCCTGTGGCAATGAGTTCCCCAGGTACCTGCATCTTTGGTCCATATTGGAATGGCCCGCTCTAATTTCATGGGCTGCCCCCTTCTTGCTGTGGGCAATAGGTGGGACAGAATCCCCTGAGGTGTTTTCTCTGTCCCATTCCCATCGCATCACAGTCCCCCTTATGCCGTAGACACCACTCTTCTCTTTCCTCTCTTCCTGGGAGAGTTTTTGTGGAGTCCGACTCGCTGCTCAGGGCCCATGTCCCATGTGGCGTTGGGAGGGGCAGGGCTGCGGGCAGGACCCACATGGTGGACAAAGGGCTGCGAGCGAGTTGCCAAACGTGTGCCTGGTCCCCTCTTTATCGGCTTTTCAAAGAACTGAGCAAACCAAGCCCCCCTTTTCCAGACAGCCTGTGTCCTGCTCTCACAGCCGCTGTGTCTAGCTGCCACTTTCAGCCACTGGCTCTGTCCAGATGCTAGACCCAAGAGCCGCTGAGCAATTTGTTCCCCAGGTCGGTCCTTCTAGCCTGGGACCGAGTGGCCCTTTCGCCTTCTCCTCGTTCCACTCACTAGCAAGAGCCCCTGGTATCTCTCCTGGTCAGGCAGGTTTTCCAGTCCTGCAGGCATTGCCGGGGCTCTGCTCTGAGCCCTCCCCACTTCACCAACTCCCTCCCCAGTGCTGGTTCGGCTGTTTCCCAAGGGGATGGGTATTTCAGAATCTCCCTCCTGTCTCACCTTGGACTCCGTGGGTGACCTTTTCATCCCTTCATGGGCCTTGCTGTTAAGAACCTGCATTTCCCTTGGCGGGCCTGTAATACTTGGAGCTCAGTATGACAACAGTGCCTGGAATTCAGAGTCCTGCTTCAGGGATTCAGTCCGTCATCTGCAGTGGTCAGGAAGGAAAAGTCTTCCTCCCCTCCCATGAGTTGGGTGTACAACTGGTCCAAAGACCATCCTCAAAGAGGAGTGAGCATGCTGAGTGTGAATGGGAGCCAGCAAAGTGAAGCATCTCTGATAATCCTGCGCTAACAGGATGGGGCAGTAACCAACATGCCATGGGGCAGACACAGGAGGGGGGTGTCCCGCTCTGCTGGGCGCTGGGGAGCTCTCGTCTGGAGCTCTGTGGCCAGTTCTGGGCCACACGCGTTAGACAAGCTGGGGGCAAATCGGAGAGAGTCCAGGCAGAGCAGCAAACGGGGAAAGGGTTAGAAATGCTGCCAGAGCTGTTGACTCGAGTCCCATGACTTGAACTCGAGTCCGACTTACGTTGCCTAGGTGATTCAACTTGAGACGCGACTCGGGTTCATTGTCTGTGACGTGAGACTTGCTAATTTGGTTAAATCGATGTGGTGAAAAAATGGTCCGAAAATGCCGACATTGATGGCTTGTACAAGAGACTTGACATTTTTTAAATTGAGACTTGAGACTTGACTTTGTCTTGACAATGACGATTTGAAGACAACACTGAATGCTGCCCTGGCAGGGAAGGGGAGACTAACGGGGAGAGAAGAGAAAGGAGGGAAGCCCAGAACAGGTTTCACAGATGCTGAGGTTGCTTGTTGGCCAGGGCCATCGGGCAGGCAGGGGAACACGGAGCCCAGAGTCTGTGAGTCCCAGTGACACATGGTCAGAGCAGACGGACGCTTCATGTTTTTCCAGTGACGTTCCGTGACCAGGAACAGAACTGAGCCAGGGTTGGGTTGGCGTCTGCCTTGTAGCACATTTTAAATCGAGATCGAGCTGTTAAACTGTTGCCCAAACAGGGCCAAATGGGACTTGGCTCCCAACAAGCGACTGGCGTAATGTGTCAGCGCGTCCCCTCCCTGCCAACTCCCTTCTCCTCCCCGCTCAGGTGCTGCCGCGGCCCCTCGCCATGGACAACACCAACTGGACGTCCGTCTCCGAGTTCGTGCTCCTGGGCCTGTCCGAACGCCAGGACCTGCAGCCGCTGATCTTCGCGGGGTTTCTGGTCACCTATGTGGTGAACCTGGTCGGTAACTCCGTGCTGCTGCTGGCGGTATGGGCTGACCCCCAGCTCCACAGCCCCATGTATTTCCTCATCAGCCAGCTGGCCGTGGTGGACATGAGCTTCGCCTCCGTCACCCTGCCCCAGGCCCTGGTGCACATTTTGACCCAGCATCGGGCCATCCCCTTTGCCAGCTGCATGGGCCAAGTCTTTGTTTTCCTGGCCGTGGGCAACATGGAGGGCTACCTGCTGGCTGCCATGGCCTACGACCGCTACGTGGCCGTCTGCGACCCGCTGCGCTACTCTGCCGTTGTGACGCGGTCCGGGCCTGGTCTCCATCATCCTGCCCCAGGCCCTAGTGCACACCCTGACTCAGCACCGGGCCATCCCCTTTGCCAGCTGCATGGCCCAGCTCTTCATCTTGCTGTCCGTGGGCAACATGGAGAGCTTACTGCTGGCTGCCATGGCCTATGACCGCTACATGGCCATCTGCAACCCGCTGCGCTATGCCGCCGTGGTGACGCGGTTCCTGTGCCTCAAGATAGTGGCCGCCTCCTGGATTGTGGTGATCTTGCACGCCCTGCTGCACGCTGTCATGGCCGCCCGGTTGCGTTACTGCAGCAACCGCCTGCAGAATTTCTTCTGCACCCTCCAACAGTGTCACATTTCTTCTGTCACCAGCAATCGCTGCTGCGCCTCTCCTGCACCCGGCCCATTGTCCACGAGCTCGTGGTCTCCACCGAGAGTGTCCTGGTGTTGCTGGCCCCTATCGCCTTCACCCTGGCCTCCTACACCCGCATCGGGGTGGCCGTGGCCCGCCTGCGCTCTGTTCAAGCCCTGCGCAAGGCCCTCTCCACCTGCGGCTCCCACCTGACCGTGGTGTTGCTCACGTACGGCAGCGTGCTCTGGCTCTACTTCCACCCAGACTCCAGCAGCACCCAGGGGCAGAAACAGCAAGTGACCTTCTTCTACACCTCTGTGGTGCCCACCCTGAACCCCCTCATCTACAGCCTGAGGAACAAGGATGTGGCCGCGGCTCTGAGGAGGGTCAGGAGGAGAGTTCTGGCTTGGGCCACGTGAGTCCAGCCCACGGCTCCATCGTGGTACTGGGCATGGACTTTCCACACAAGGTGTCTGGGGAACCGTCCTCTTTATCTCCCTCAGGACATCTGGGCTCTTTTCCCCTCAGACATGAGGCTGGTGGAACTAACACACATGTAGGGTCACACCCACCCCACCACACATGTACACGCAGCCCAACTGTTCCACGGAAAAGGAGGTTCACTAAGGCGTGTTCTCAAGGGCATGGCCATACGGCATCAGCCCCAAAGCCCGTTGTATAAATGTTCTTAGTAGCCATCCGCCAAAAGACTCAGGGATCTGAACATAAGAGCAGCTAGACTGGGTCAGACCAATGGTCCATCTAGCCAGGATCCCAGCTTCTGAAGGTTGCACTGCAGGGGGAATGAACAGAAGGCAGCTTCTGGCAAACTTCTGCTGGAGACACCATCCCTGCCCATCGTGGCTAAGGACTATCGATGGACCTGTCCTCCATGAACATATCTAGTTTGTGTGTGAACCTGTTACAGTCTTGACCTTCAGAACATCCTGTGGCAAGGAGTTCCACAGGCTGATTGTGCGTTGGGTGAAGAAATACTGCCTTCTGTTTGTTTTAAATGCGCTGCCTATGTATTTTGTGGGGTCACTCTTAATTCTTGTGTTATGAGAAGGAGTAATTAGCATTCCCTTATTTCCTTCTCCACACCTCTACCATATTCCCACCTCCCGAATCTGTCCTTCCAGGGAGTTGTTCCATCTCCCTAACCAGTTTTGTTTTCTGTCTCTGCACCTTCTCTAATTCCAATATGTCTGTTTGGTGGGGCGACCATGTTTGCACATAGTACTCAAGGGGTGCGTGTACCATAGATTCACGCATAGGTCATAGGATATTTTCTGTGTTGTTATCAGTCCCTTTCCTAATGTCTCCCAGGATGCTGGTGGCTTCTTGGGCTGCACATCGAGGGGAGAGGGGTTTATCTAACAGATCTGTGCTAGGAATTCTCTGGGGGTCGTTCTCTGGCCTGGGCGATACAGGGGGTCACAGCAGATGCTCCCAATGGCCTGGGAATGTATGAAGAAGCCACGGCCCTGGGAGGGAACCTTTGCCTCTCATTGCAGGGTCTGGTACAGCCTCATTTAACCCTGCTGGTGGCTTAGCCATGGATCAGGGATGCTCGCTCGGTTAAGGGTCCTTTGGTCTTTGCAGCTGAGTCCTGACAAACTCACTCCACCAAACTCCCATTTTACGGGATCCTTAGCCATGCAGAGGAGCCTTGGAGGGATGTACAGGAATCTCGTGACTGCTAATCGAACTCCCCAGCTTGTATGTGAGGAATAAAGTCTCTCTATTGAAAGTCTGTGTTATGGATTTGGTTGGCGTGACGATGTGACGCAGGGGAATGGTTTGGAAAAGGGCAGGAACAGACAGGGATGCTTCCTAGATTCACAGGTGCCCAAGGTGTTGGGATGTTTTTGCGAGAGGATAGTTAGTTATATCGGGTGCCATGATGTTTAACCGGCTGGTTAAGGAAATTCAAAATGGAGCCCGTGAGGATCAAAATGGAGTCCGTGACCTCTGCCATTGGCAGTTCTGACGGCTTTTCCTCAGGGCAGATTTCCGAGAAACCGGACTCAACCGGTTGTCTCCGAAACCGGACTCAACCGGTTCTCTCTGAAACCAGACTCAACCGGTTCTCTCCCGCCAAAGAGCCCGGAAGATTCCATTTACCTCAGACTTCTCCCCTCCCCCGGACTCTGTCACCAGAGCCACGGTGCCGCCCGCCCCCGTGGCCGCACGCGCCGGTTCCTGCCGTTCACCCCCACGCGGCCGGGGGAAGATCCAGCCGCAGGGAGACGAGGAGCCCCGTCCTACCCACCGTCCAGTCCTCGTTCCATCCACCTGCGGATCCTCTTTGGTGCTCGTCCCGAAACAGAGCGTCGCGGGACTCCCCGGCGCTCCTCCCCAAGGCCTTGCAATGAGGCGACGGGTCGCAGGGCCTGGCAACCCTGCAAGCGCCGCGACTGCCCTGTGAAGAGAGGGAAAAGTGGCTGCGTTTGGGGGCAGCACTGACCAGCCAGATAAGTCCTCGTTCCATCCACCTGCGGATCCTCTTTGGTGCTCGTCCCGAAACAGAGCGTCGCGGGACTCCCCGGCGCTCCTCCCCAAGGCCTTGCAATGAGGCGACGGGTCGCAGGGCCTGGCAACCCTGCAAGCGCCGCGACTGCCCTGTGAAGAGAGGGAAAAGTGGCTGCGTTTGGGGGCAGCACTGACCAGCCAGATACACTTGGCCCGAGGGATAAGTCAGGCGGGTTTGGGGTTCAGGCTCCATGCCAGTATTTTGCTGTCACTCCACGGCCCTGTCCCGCTGATCTCATATGAGATACGTCGGATTGGTCCCCCGTTCCCTACTCCTGTGAATTTCTCCCCCGATAACACTCGGTTTGGTTCATTACACGCGGCTTCGGCTCTTCTTTTCGACACGGTTGCTTAAAAGAGAGGGAGCGGGAGGGATACCGCAGCCATACCAGGGTTATAGCTAATTCAGGGGTGAGAGACCCGGATTGGGGGGGAGGGTCTGTGCTTCCGACCGGGGTACCGGCGGCGCCATTCCATTTGTGTTTGTTATCTAACCCCCCTGGGGTATCAATGGTGGGACAGGACCCCATGCCCACCATGCCGGGCTGTAGCACGTCCCCCAGTGTCGGCATCCCGAGGAGATGGCTAATTTCACACCCACCCCGGCTAGAGGGAGCCAGGGAGGTTGGCCAGTCTGACCTCCGCAGCCCAGAGCCCTGCAACAAAAAAAAATCACAGGGCAGATCTGTTAGGAAAACCTTCCATCATGGCTGTAAAGTGGTCTGGAAAGACGAATCTTGCTTCCCCCCTTGGGCAATCGATCGGTGGTTAATTCACCCAGCGGCAGAGCGTGAAACGTTTCTATCCTGAGTCCCAGGATGAATTTTTGTCCTGTTCCAACTTCCCTCTCCAGCTTGTCCGAAGAGCCAAAGCGAGTCCTTCTTTCCTCCTCCTCCCCCCTGCACTGTGGCCACGTGTGGGAGCAACTTTGGGCCAGCGTGGGAATCGGTTGCAATATTTTGTAAGAAGCCAGCCCATGCCTCAGTTTCCCCCCTGGGATGCCCTGCTGTCTGGAGAAGAAACCCAGCGAGGGAGGTGGGATGGGCACTTGGCTGTCTCGGGTGCTCGGGCAAACACTCCCCTGTGCCCAATCTCCAGTGTTTTTCAGAGCGCAGTGTTCATACTGGGTTGGGGAGGTGAATCTATGCACGGATCCCTAGTGTGGGACAAACATCCTGCTAATTACCCGAAACTCGCACTGCAACCCCCCAGCCGCTCCTCCTCCATCCCTGGCTCCTGTCCCTAAGGGCCCAGAGGGTCATGGAACCATTACCAGGAATTAGCATGCTGGGGATGGAGCAAAGAGGGAAAGACAGGCCTGCACCTCACAAACTCCCTGCCCCACGTCTGGCAGGGTGTTCCTGTGGGGACATGTGCGAGCGGGGTCAAGTGAGAATTTTTGTGATGGGTTTTGTGCGGCGCCCACGTGTGCCTCAGTTTCCCCCTTTTGTGTGGTGCTACCTAGTTGTGTGTGTGTGGGGGGGAACTGAGCTCGCTCTCCAGACAGGCCGTGAGCTGGCAGGGTGCGTACGTATCACCAAGACCCGAGCCATGTATGGGTCTGTCTACACGGCCAGGTAGCGAGGGTTAGTAGAAGCGGAGTGAGCAGACACTGGGTTTATTAGTCCAGGGCTAGAGCGTTTACACTGATTGATAAGCCCGGGAATTGTGGGATGCTAGGTCCCAATTGGCAGCGCCAGCATCCACGCTGCATCACACCCGCCTGCGTCCAACCACCTTTCATCCAGGTTCCCAGCCTCCTCCCAAAACTGACCCTCTCCCAGCCTGCGTGGTCGGGGATAAAGGAAGTCGGGGTCTTGGGATACTTTTGGTGGACTCTCCAGTGGGACTGTGTCTCCATGGCCAACCAGTGGAGCAGGAACCCTGCCTTGCTTCACCCCCATGGGCCCTGTGACTGAATTCGTGGACAGTGGTACCTCCTCAGCTCTCCAGCTGGTGGTGCCTGTCACACGGCGTTGCTGTGCCAGCTGCCTTGCTGGGTCTGTTCACACACAGCCGCCGTGTGTAATCCCTGTGTACAGTGCACCAGCTGCCCAGGAATTACACTGCAGAGCGATGCTGAGAAATTCCTCTTCCCCCACCAACGTGTCTTTTGCATCCCAGCCCCTCCTGGCCCAGACAGGGTCACCAAAAGCCCGTCACGGCAGCACAAGGAATGTCCCAAACCCTTCCACCCACCCAGGCACTCGCCGGTCCAGATGAGACAAGAAACCAAGTTTAGTCGCTCCAGACCGATGGATTTTAACTCGATTACAAGTAACGAGGCATAAAGGTCAGAGTTGGTTACAAAGAAATAAAAAGTAGAAAACACAAACTGATCCCTAAGAAGCTTAAAGGGAGAGAGTCTCTCTCAGTGCAGGGTCTTTTCCAGGCTTACTGGTTGGCTCTATCAGCCAGAATCACTCTCCAATCCAAAGTTTTCCAAGTCGATCCCATGAGCAGAGTTGAAGGGAGAGAGAATTCGTGGCCCCTGTTCCCCACTTTTCCTCTTTCAAAATCATCTGCAACCGACATTAAGCAGAGTCTCAGGGATGGGAACTTCCAGCTGTCTCACTCACAGGTCTTCCTGCCAACGTGGCTTGAAACGGTGATGACCCATCTGATTATGTGGACACCTGCCTGAGGCACCAGTTTGTCTTTTATCTGTAAGGAATCTCTGTGCTGGTTTAGCTCAACACAGAACACGACTCAGCGAGGTCGTACAGTACTGGCTAGTCTCAGTATGAGTCCAAGATATGTTCCGAAAAACTCATAGCGAAACAACTTAAAGCGGGGATTTTTTTTTCCAGTGGCTGACTTCCATTTGCACAATTTGGGGGCTGTGGCTAGACTGGCAAGTTTTTCCGCAAAAGCAGTTGCTTTT